GACACAAAGATATCTCGTTTAACTTTCTGGGTTTGCCTAAAGCGAAGTGAAATGCGCCTTAATGGTAATAAATACGCTGAAATGTTCAGTTTGGTGCCTACAGTTTACGTGAGCACTTCGGCTTAGCAATAGGGGCATCTCGAGAAAATACCGTTTCCCAGCGGTCAATCATCGAGCGGTATCAAGACGACAGTATAAACTATAGCCGCCTAACGTGCATTACAGGATGCAGTCCTTGGGTCTAGCATTAGTTCCCAGGGCAGTTCGCGGCATGTGTGAGGACAGCACATTATATTTGACATCTGATACTATGCACTGATCAAAGCGTAAAATGAAAAGCATTGGCTTGCGCAACTATTTGCAATTATAATTCAAGAAAGGTTTTCGATTTTGATATAAAAATCACCTTCTGCGCTTCACCGTATCTGGCTGCCGGGAAGAAACTCTCTTCAAATCGGCGCATGTCTTGTCGACACTCATCCAAGGCTCGGTCAATTCGTCGCGACATCTCTTCAAAACGCTGGTCTACATCGGTCCATTCTGGTGACCGTGGACGACGCCATAGAGTCATGTCTGTCTATAAAAGGGTAAGAAAATCAAGTAAGAGAATCGGGGGAAAGCCGAAGACGATGAGAGCTCTGCGAACTCAGTAAAGGTAGGAAATATTGAAACAACAAATCAAGCCTCTAATCTCCTCTTTTAAAAAGATCTTTGAGAGTGAATCGTGAGAGGGATGATGTTTAAACGTTTCTTTCATTACATTCTAGTTTCTTCTGTTTCAAAAACACCTGATCATGACAGTGGAAGAAAGAAGAGAAAATCACAGAGCAGTAAAAACATTGCATGAATACTTGTAGTTAAGTGTGAAACGACGAAAACTTTTTCGGAGGTGATCTCGGCGAAAAATTGCCTGGTTATCTCGAAACTTCTGGAATCGTCGTCTAAAGATATGCAAAACCCGTTATCTCAGCTACCCCTACCTCCCTCTCTACGCTATGAGTATGAAAAAATCTCATGAGTTTCAAGAATGCATCCAGGAACGAACAACTTGCATGCCATAATCACAGATATCAACTCAAAA